CAAGCCCAAGAAGGAGAACGTTGAGCTGAACTTGTCAGCTCCTGGTGGTATTCGAGAGAAGGGGACATGTACAAACTTACAGCAACGAAGCGGATCAGGTCGTCAAAAGGTCTAGGGTCATGAGGAAATGAAAGATTCCATATGGGTAGCGCCGGTGTTATTGATGCTGAAATAAAGTTGCAAACAAAGGCGTAAAGAGAGACAGAACCAAGACAAGACATCTTCCTCCATGGCTCCCAGTTCAGGGGATCAGCGGGATCCGACGTTGGAACGGGATATTTGGCGACGCGGTCGACGTATTTGCCATTGGGTTGCTGAGTGGTAGCGTGTTCTGGAATCAAACAAACAACGTTAGCATGAGCGTCACACTGCTTTGGGGGTTCTCTTACCTATCAGGCGTACTGTCCCTGGCGGGGTGGCCGCCTTGGTCTCCTCACGGGAGAGAGAAAATGCATATTTCCAACCAGGCATTATCGGGGTCTGAGGTTCAGGAATCCCAGCCGACCAAACATCTCAAGTTCGCGGTGAAAGTTGGAGGGGTAAAGAATGAATATCTACCATCGGCAGCACGCAGGTGCTCGGAGAGGATATCGTAAGCGCGTGCGTGCGTCTCCCCTCGAAGGTTTTGGGACTGGGGACGCTTGTGCAGCCTTCGGATCGCGCTGCTGCACTCTAGCGAAGGGCAGGGTCATGATGGGTGCGGCATGAGTACGGCGATCGAAGGGCATGTTCGAGAAGAGCAAAAGGACGCTTCCGAGATGAAAAAAAAAAAAACCTGACGAGGAAGGCACGAATGAGCCTTCACCGCTTTCTTCTTGACCTTCAAAAGGTACCCCGACTCCCTACCGCGATTTGAATCCGACCCGTACCCTGCCGCCGTCCGTCCGTCAAAGATCAGATCCACGCAGGAGCACGGCCCCTTCAAGATCTGGCTGATTCTAGTATACAACTGCTTTGACGCGGCCTCTGATAAAGTTCGACCGGCGCTCCCAATCGGCTTCTCGCACCTCTACAAGATCCCGCTCTCTTGAACGACCACAGGTGCAAAGGCCGCATCCGGGAGACGGGCAATTCGTTACCGCGGCTCCACGAAGCCTCGTTCAGACACCTCAAGGCGCACGCCAAGGCTGCAGGTAGCTGTCCCTGAGCATTGCCGCCTCTCCTGTCGCCACCAGAGTCGATGTGCGGCGTTGCAGCGCACTCTTCATCCTTCCTACCTGTGCTGGATCGAACATCGCGTCAGCGTGCGTCTTTGCATCCTCACCCGGCCTTTTGCTGTTCGGTAGGGGCACGAGAAAATCCCCTGAAGGCCTCTTTGCTGCCTCTTTGCATCTCGATAACATCTCGTTATATTCCAATAACGCCTTTTGCGACCCGTCACAGGGCTCGCGCCAGGGTTGTGGGCGGTCAAGCTCACTGCCCGACCTTGGATGCCAAGACTTGGTTGAGGTTGGGGATCAATGTTAGCCGCTTGGAAGGGCGAATCAATGAATGGCAACCAGGATCACATTAATAAGCTGACATGCAGGCGGCACAAAGAATCCCATTCCTCCGCCGCTTCGGCGGAAGATTCGGCTGCGCCCGGCCGTCATCCGAGTGCTCGTCGGAGGATGATGCCAACTCCAAAAACTGTTTGAACCCGTGGTCGCTCCGCCGGATCGGTATCCGCTTTCAACTTTGTGTTGGGGCTCCTCTGCGTCTAGTTTGTCCCCACAACTCCGGCGCTGCACGCCCGAACCCGACTTGCACGCGCTCCCCGCGCTAAGAAGCCTGGGTTTTTGCTGGACGCGCTACAATTATAGCGATTCAGGCCCCAGTCACCCGCTATGGAGAGACAGTCGCCGGCCATGAGCCGGCCCCCCAGCACAAACGGCGCGGGACCTGAAACCAAGCGACGGAGGATACGCAAGGGCACCAGAAGCTGCTGGGAATGTAAACGACGGAAGATACGATGCAAATTCGACTCGGAGACCGATGCCGTGTGCATCGGTTGTCGTCACCGTGGCACGAAATGTGTGAGCCAAGAATTCCCCGAAGAGGCTTCCGCTCCGGGGGACCGAGGCCGTCAAATGGGAGAAAGAATCGTCCGCGTCGAGGCCTTGGTTGAGCAGCTCGTTCAATCTGTCGCCACGGGGACCACCAAGCAGACACCAACTCTGCCGGACACTGGCATCCCCACTCCGTCTTCCTCAACTTCAGAGCTGCCGCATCTCTTGTCGCTGTACGAGCCGGCATCAGTGAGTTTTCTAACCCTGCTTTCACGCAAGTACGGCTCTAACCCTGATCCAGGATAAAGCAACTCAGAGAGAGCATCACCCCTCCTCTTCACTATCAACCCCTAATCCCTACGGGACAACCTCACCAGAAACTCCACGCATTGTTGCACTGAACTCATCATGCCCGCCACGGTATGCAGCCCTGTCAGCGGCCTTGTATGCCGCCTTCCCTTCACCTGAAGACCTCGCAATACTTTGCGAGCATGGCGCCGCCGCGGTCACGCCATTCAACCAGCTGGCAACAACACCGCTGTCGGTCATTGAGGTCGACGGCCCAGAGACTTCGGATGTTTGGTTCAGAATACCAGATCGAAATATGCACCCAGTTCTCATTGCAAAGGCCGCGATGATTCTAGCCACCACGCTTCAGGGGTTGTTTCCCTCGACTCAGACCTCAGTCCCTGGCGTCTCCGAGCCCCCTCAAGTTATCTATCGAAGACTGGCAGATACGACCAGGAGCTTGGTTGTCGACAACGATGAGTTTCTCGGCACCGTCGAAGGCCTTCAGTGTATTATCTTCGAGGCGCTCTATCAGGCCAACTGGGGCAATCTACGAAGGGCTTGGTTGACGATGCGCCGGGCAATGGTCGTCGCGCAGCTGATAGGCATCCACAAATCCCACAATCAAAAACCGCTAAAGATCATCGACCCTACCACTCCAGCGTATCCTCGGTACCTGTGGTTCCGCATCGTATTTGCAGATCGGCTGCTTTCAATGATGCTCGGCCTCCCACAGGGAACGATGGACATGTCGATGGCATCTCCCGACCAGCTCGCCGAAGAGGTGCCAGCAGGCCGACTCGAACGTGTCCACTGCGCGATTTCAGCCCGAATTCTGGAGCGCAACGAGTCTGACCCTCCGTGTGACGACTACACCAAGACGAAAGCCATCGACTCCGACTTGCAGAAGGCCGTCAGCATGATGCCGGGGAGATGGTGGCTCACTCCGAATCTCGCAAAGGTGGCCGCGGCGCCGCGCGAACTGTTCTGGGAGGCTCTCAGGTTGGCGAAGCAAGTATATCACTTTTACCTTTTGATTCAAGTCCATCTTCCGTACATGATGCTGTCGAACAACGGCGTCAACGGAGACAACGCCAAGCGAGCCAGCTTCGAATACTCAAAGGCCACGTGTGTTATTGCGGCGCGCGAGATCCTGACTCGGTTTGTTGTCTACCGTAGTTTCAACCGAGTCGCCTTTTGCTGCAGAAATATCGACTTCTTTGCTCTCCTGGCCGCAATGACCCTAACCCTAGCCCATCTTGAAGGACACCAGAACCAACGCAGCGAGAATGTGCTCGCTCACCAACGCATCAGTGACCGAGCGATGATGGACGAAGTTTTGGACAACATGGAATGCGTGGCCAAGTTAAATGACGATCCGCTGAGCGACAAGTGTGGCGACCTGCTTCGACGCCTCTTGGCAATCGAGGACGAAGCCGCCAGCGGTAACGAGAAAGCCGCCACTGATCGACTTGACGACAGCATTGAGGATGCTTTGCGCATCTGCATTCCATACTACGGCACTGTAGTAGTCAAAACTTCTGGTCTCATTTTCGAGGACAGGCCATCTCAAGGACCAAACTCACAGGAGCGGTCAACCGAAGCGGCCGACCATGTTTCAGAAACTCCAGGGACTTTGGGCTCGGTCGGAATGCACGATCAAGCTTGGGGCTACGGTCTTCCGGTGCTTCCCAGGGAGGTGACGGCTGTTGACTCACACCACCCGTCTACACCGGACCCTCAGCAAGCATTCAGCCATGGGAGCAGGGGCCTGTCAACACACCCCCCTGGGCCACCGCTGCCGTTTGAGAACCCCTCGAACGACGTGTCGATTGCGGCAGGGATAGACGATTGGACATTTCAAGGAGTGGACATGGCTTTTTTTGATGCCTTGATGAGGGGAACGCCTGTTGAGGACTTGGGGGGCCTACGTCTTTGAGTTTTCTGTTTTTTTTTTTTTTTTTTTTGTCTTGTGCAGAATAAAGCCCTCATTTCCTTGTCTCGATGTGCCAGGGCGGCTTTATTCTATGAACAGATAGGATTTGGTAAGGGATATTTGACTGTAAGTTAAGAGATAGATCGGGGTTAAGCAAACTGTCTCATAGACGGAAAATAACATTGCTGACATTGAGATGATGCGTTTTTGCTCCTTCGTACAACTCTAATACGCCGAGATCTAAAGCCGGTAAGCCCGACGCCGTTCTTCGGCACTGTACTTTCAGTTCAGGTGCTCCAGGGACATAAGTGACGCAGGCGCCTCTGAGAATGCTATACGGGCTGTATCGAAGGTAGTCGAGGTCTTTGAGAGCATAACAATTGTTTCTATTTCATTGTCATTAAGAGCCAGTGCAACATAACCAAAGCCGTATAAAGTTTTAATCACGCCTTGTATGGTCTAATCAAGGCCCTATTTGATGAGATTGAAGTCTGTTTGTGTGAACAGCAATGCTCTCCCCGTCGGGAGCTGAGACAGAAGCTGAGGAGGCTGAAGGCAAGTGTCCGGGAGCCGAGACCTAGTATAATGCGGGGGGGGGGCTAGCCAGGAGTGAATTCTACATACCAGCCAGGGCTGGGGTCCAGCCGGTTCACCCTCAGATTCACGCAGAGTGGTAAGCACTGGAACGCCACAACCCAACCTTGCCTCCGCCACCTCGTCATCCAACCATCCTATGGCTTCCCATACTTAACCAGAAGATTGACACAAGGCATTTAACAAAAGCCACAGGACGGGTAGCGCAGTGGTCAGCGCGTTCACTAAGCGTCATCAGCGTTGATTTTCCAGCGTTTAGCGAGAGGCCTGGGTTCAAATTCCAGCCCGCCCAAACCCCCCTTTCTTTTCCCCGTCACATGCATCGACACCACCCACAACTCCATTCTAGAAAAGACCTCCTTTTTGAATTCATAGTTTTGGCAAAGGCCGGGCTAAGATGATTTGGGAAAGGGTAGTTTGGCAAAAAGGGAGAGAATGGGGGGGAAATTGTGTTGGGGTTGAGTAATCAATAGTGAGACCTGGTCTGGGTTACATGGCGCTTGACATGTCAGTCTCACATGAGCCTCTGCTCCTCGGTGATGACTCCCTTGGTTGGGAATGCGAAGGTCGATGCACCAATCAACTTCTCCTGTGTATCATCGCAGAGAGCAACACTGAATTCACACCTGAGGCCTATTTAGATAATGTCATTGCTCTCACAGGCTCACATGGAAAAAAGCCTTCTTCGATACAGCCAAGGCACCCTCAGATGCAAGCAAGGTCTTCTCCAAGGGAATAAGGCTTTTTTCAATGCAAGCAAGACCAGCTTTTGATGCAAGTAAGGCCTTCTCTAATAAAAAGTAAGGCCTTCCTCGATGCAACCAATGTGTTTCCAGAATGGCTTGGGCATGGAGACCAGATCAAGGCAGGCCCCGGCCCAGAGCAGTTGATCACTTTCGGTCGGAGCTTTCGTAATTACGCAGGTTGACAAATGTCTAGGCCCAGCACGTTGTAGTTACTGGCTTTTTCTTGGCCATTCTCATCTGCTGAGACTGAATATGCGAGGCCTTCGGATGTCAGGCCTCGCCTGATGGTGTGGATCAGTCTTTCAACCTTTCTGCTGTTATCTCGTGCCATGCCTTAGACAATTTCTGAAGGGGGAGTATGGATGAGATGTGGAAGTCTGGATGACGTAACGAAAGGGATCTCAGGATAGGGATAGCGGGAAGACTTTGAGGGGTACATGTGATAACGCTAGTAGAGTGAGGTATTATCAAGCCATGAGTACATGCCTGTTGTACATTCTCATAACGATCGTGCTCATTATAACAAAAGTTTCCGTCAATAGCCGCTTCCTTGAGCTGTCGAGAACCCCCCCCTAAACCCCCCCCCCACTCCAACGCCAGCCGCTCGTTTGTAGAAAAGCGCAACAACTGAAAACAATAGCGTCCCTGCACCGCGGCGAGTACGATGAACCGTCTCCTCATCTATTCCCTTCCTGTACCCTGTATAGTATCCTCTCCATATCCTGTATAATTAGGCCCATCTATTCTGAATATTTCCTCTATCCGTGGTATCATGTTCCGTTCAGGCCGCACCCGCAGTCGCAACCGCCTCCCTGTTCAACCGCTTCCAGTTGCTGAAAAGGCTGAAGATAAAGGCAATGCCAATACCGGCAACAGAGATGGCAAATGTGGTCTTGATACCGTCCATGTAGGCCACCAAAATGCCAGGTATCTGATCGGCAGGGAAGACATGGCGAATGGCGGTGGCACCAGTGCCGATAATCGTGAGGCGATCGACACCCTCAGGGAGGTTGCCGAGGAGCGTATTAATAAAGGAAGATTGGGCGGCAGACACAAGGATAGCTCCGCCGAGCGTCTGAAAAAACAATATGATGGCGGTGACGGAGGACATGTCCTGGGGGTCGGCTGAAGACTGGGTGACGATCACTGGAACCTGGAAGGCTACACCGTAGAAAAGGCCCGCGAGAATTTGGTAGCTAATCCACTTGGCGCTGCTTGTTCCAATATCGAGCGTGTAGAGTAAGCCTACCGCGATGGTAGCGATGGCTGATCCGACGACCATGATCGGGGTGGCAATGCCGGTTTTGGCGATGAAGACGCCGGACACCATGGTACCCAGGGTGACGGCGATGATCATGGGCAAGTTTCGGATGCCGGACTCAGTGGGACTGGTGTTCCCGACTGACTGGAAGTAGAGAGGTAGGTAACTTCATGGTAGATATCCGTTAGTGGTTTCTCTCAAAGGTGCGTGCGTTTTAGGCAACGGAAGGTCTCAGGTGCGCTCAAGTCACACCCAAGACATCCAACAAAGCCATGGGATAACCACAATAGGAGATAAAAGGCGGTAGGGGAGACTCACTAGATAATGACAAAGTAGGTACCACCAAGGAAAAATGTGAATGCTGAGGAAACCCAGACGCTGCGCTGGCGGAAGAGGCGGGGCACGATCATGGAGCGCTCGCCGTTGTAGTACTCCCAGACGAAGAATGTGGCCCAGATGAGCACGAAGCCAACGATAAGGCCAATGACAGTCGCACTCTTCCACTCCATCGTGACGCCACCATACTGAAGGGCCAGGATGTAATCAATGACACCACCCATGACCAAGGCGGTACCGAGGGGGTCCATCTGCTTGATCTTTTCGATAAGCGGTGCCTCCACTGGCTTGGCAGCCTTCGGGGCCGTGAAAAAGAACAAGAGGATGGCAGCCGAGACGCCTCCGATGGGCAAGTTGATGTAAAAACACCAACGCCAACTGACGTGGTCGGAAAAGGCACCACCGATCAGAGGGCCAACGACGGAAGCAATACCGTAACTTGCCCCGATGATGGATGTGAACATAGGGCGTCTCGCTGGCGGAGCAGCGAAGGCGATGATGGTGTATGCTCCTGAGGCAATGCCAGCAGCACCGAGGCCAGCGATAGCACGCCCGACGATGAGAGCGATCGAATTCGGGGCGACACCGCAGATCAAACTGCCGATTTCGAAGATGACGATAGAGACGATGAAGCTGATCTTCAGAGGGAAGTACTTGTAAATCTTGCCCCATGTTGACTGGAATCCACCGACCGTCATGAAGAACGCTGAGCCGTACCAGGCGACCTCCTCGAGACCGTGGAACTCGTCGGTGATCTTAGGGATTGCGGTTGCGACGATGGTCATATCCAGTGCCACGAGGAAGACACTGAGGACGAGAGCGACCACGATGAAGGCGAGTGTGGTGCCTTTGGGGTACTCGATTTCGGGCTCATCGGTGGAAGGGGCTTCTTCCTTGGTGCTTGCTGCGTCGGCTGCTTGCTTCTTTTCGAGGTCGATCGTCGACTCGATTGTTGATGGGGCTCGGGTGGAACTACCGCTGAGGTAGGTGCTGTTCCGGGCCGTGTCACCGGGAGCGGCGAGACCGCTGGTGGCCAGCCGGTCCTCGATCGGAAGTGATGGAGAAGGCATGGTGAGGGAAGGTACACCGCTGTCGGCGATGCGCTGAAGGGATCTTTGGATCAAGGTGAAACTCTACCCTGGTTGTCTTTGCTCTGTCAAGTAGGGCCAAATAAGGCCAAATCAGGCGGAAATTGGGTGCTGGGATGTCGATGTGCTGATGAAGAGAAACCTCGATGCGGTTGATGGGAGGACAGACAGCACTTATATCTCCCCAATGGTCCCGGCCGTTGGGACACACGGACCGGAGACATGCCGTATTGCGTGCCATGATTAGGTATGAGGTTTGTAAAGTCCGGGATGAGAGTCATCCGCCGTGCAGCCTTACGCCAGAAACCCGAGGATATCTCCGGCGCGGGACGGAGTACGCTGCATCTCGCAGGGAAGCCACGCATCGAGGTACCTGCCCGGCGGACTGCCCTGTTGATGGGGCCGTGCGCAAGGGGTGTGTCTGGAACCGGCGGCTCGGAGACTTGGCTAGGCCGTGGACTGCATCTGGTTACAAAGAAAAAGAAGGTTATCGAGCAGAGAGATGCGCCTCGCATTGGTAATACACCCCGAGGGTGGTGTGCCAACGTGCCATGGTACCTGACAAGCTTCCCACGCAACAGCCTGTGCAGCCCGGATTTACCGCCGATTACCGCCGGAGCAATCCCTTTGGTGCATCACTGGCGATGACAAACCCGAGCTAACCCACCCTGGCTAGGCTGCCGCGCAGATCGCCAAGATCCGGCCTGAAATCCACCCGTTTTTCAGGCCCTTCTCCGTGAGACGGCGGAAGACTTGAGACATGCCCGTTGCGAGGCTCCGGGAACTATCTGTGATGCCCGCTTTTCTCCATATGAGTCAACAGGCCAGCAGGTAAGCCGCAACCGTCGACAACGAAATAATCTTCCCGACAAATCGCTAGTCCCCCACTCGTCGGTCTTTGCGGTGAGAAGTCGCCAAGTGTTATGATTCAACCTGAAAAGGCGGGGCATGAGTTTTGGTGATGAGCTCATCCTGATATCTCTTACTGGTATTGCTGTGATTCTACCCCAAAGAATGCAGTCTGAAAAGTTTCCGATGGAAGATTTCAGGAAACTCATCGCATCATTGTCGCAGCAGTTCCCCTCATCAACAGGGCAAAACCTCATCCCACAAAACTAGAGATCAAACGCACACCCGCACGGCACCTCACCTTATTTCCGCACACCATCGGGCTGCTTCCTCCCTGGGCTCCCAAAATGCTCGGCATCGCCGGACTTGGCACCTGTCGCACAGCCGCATCCAGGAATCCGAGCTCTGTACTCTCAATTAGTGCTCATGAGCAGTGCTTATGAGCAAGTTACCAGATGAACGCACCCATTTGCTCAGATCCTGCAACGCGGCTCGGCCGAGAGAACGTTGGACCGGTTCCACACCCATGAAATCCGACGGATACCGACCGTGTGGTCGGGTCTCGGGCTCGGGTTCCACACGACGCCGCGAACTGCAGCGAGCGGAATTTACAGTCAACACCCACGACGCCAGGCAAGCAAACCGCGTTTGACTAACATGCAGCCAAACCTTTTCCATTTACGGCGAAGAGCACCAAATTATCTCGCAACATGAGATTTGGCAGCGAGCCCAGATCATCGCCATCCTGAGTTGTCGTTGCAAAAACGGTCGTCTGGATGAACGCAACAACGGATGGCAAATGCTGCTGCATTAATGGACATGTCTTCAGACACAATACGCCTTGGCATATCAACATCGAATACGGTCGTATCTGCCGCCTAGTTCAGGAGGTTGAAACCCGCGTATTCTCATCCAAGCTTGAGTCCAACGCCTGAGGCGCTGCAGGATATGGTTGTGTGTGGCTGGAGAGAACCCCAGTTGGATGCTACCCCCGCTGGTACTTTAACACAGA